CCTCACACACCAGCATCAGAGACCGCTTATCTGACTGCAGCTGACCTTGGTGTGTGTGCGTTTCCAGGTAAGATAAAGTACTCTGAGCGTGTATACGATGCCTGCATGGAGGCGTTTGACTGCCTGCCTCTGGCCGCCCTCCTCAACCAGCAGTTCCTGTGTGTGCACGGAGGTCTAAGCCCTGAGATCACCTGCCTGGATGACATACGAAAGGTGAGATGTGTTACATCACGAAGGGCTGACAGACAGAGTCTTCAGTAGGCACGTCACTGATAGTTTGAAGTTTTGCATTTTTCATCGGTTTCTAATAATAACGTAAATGTTTGTAAATGTTTATAAACCACAAGCCTGAATCTGACTTCACTGACTTCTCTGTTTACGACATGTGCTGGCCCATGGCTGGCTTACTGGGGTCAGCCAATCAGAAGAAAGTGTGCTTTTAGGGAGGAGGGCCTTAGGAAGAGTGAGAGAGTTATTGAGAGAGAGTTTGGCTCTTGTCCCAAAAGGCTGATTCTGTTCATCTGGACGTGGCGTTTTTAGTGGGAGAAGCTTTCGTCACTCATCCAAGTGACTTCTTCAGTCTCAGCTGACTGCAGGTTTCCACAATCTTATAAACAGTACATTTGCATAATGACTGAAACCAGCCCACTGAAGGAACAATGGGGCTGTGAGGTCAGTTCCTTGATCCTTAATGAGTGATGAGTGACAAAACATTTCTCCCACTGAAAACGCTACGTCCAGATGAACAGAATCAGCCTCTTGGGATTTACTTACCTGGATGATTGAGAATGCATCAAGATATTAGAAGAGCCGGCAGGCGAAGAATCAGAGCTGGAAACGATTTACTCTTCTTGGTGGTGGTTTATAAACACATTCTCTTTTAGAGAGGTTTCACAATGAGCTCACCTGAAACTCTGGCTGATTGGGACCCACACCCAGTTTCACACCTTGGCTCAGGCGATTAGAGGATCATCAGGGGTCCTTTTGTCCCTCTGTGGGGGGACACTCCCACTAGGTTTAAATCTGGGACTCTCCACCATTTGACCTTAGAACTGAAGAAGCTTCTCGGATGAGAGGTGAAACGTCTTCAAGCAACTTAAAGAAGTCCAGACGCTTTTCTTTGCAAGCTCCTTAGACTACGATGACCTGGATGACTGAGAACCTCACAGACACTTTCTCTTTTAGAGTTTAAATTATCTGAAATTTTCCTGTTTTTTCCAGCTGGACCGGTTTAAGGAGCCTCCGGCATTCGGGCCAATGTGCGACCTGCTGTGGTCAGACCCGGGCGAGGACTACGGCTCAGAGAAGACCCAGGAACACTTCTGCCACAACAGTGTCAGAGGATGCTCTTATTTCTACAGGTACAAGCCACGCTGCTGCCGCCCGAGCACCAAAAAGCAGAGCGCTCTGTTAATCCGAGCTGATTAAAGCTTTTACAAACAATGGCTTATCTGTGGATAAGTGAGTGCCGTTAAATCCGCTGTCACACAGATACTGAAAATAAATATTAGCATTCCCTGCTCTGTCTTAATAGTTAAGCTGAATCTGCAGCGTTGACACTGCTCGGAAGTCACAGGGCGACGAAAGCTGCTCCTAAGCCTCTTTTATCCACCATTAGTTTGTTTCAGTAGCTCGACATTTACAGAACTCATTACAGCGAGCATGTTTGTGGCCGTCTGGCCTTTATTACCGAGTCAGCACACACAAACCTGAGCGAGCATCTGGGTCGCTTCAGATGGCGTCTCAGACCCATCACTGGACACGACTGACTGGGAGGATCCACACAGACCCACACCACTACAGGAAGTAAAGACGGCCTTACTTAGGGTGGAGGCCACATATACAGTGAGAGAAAAATGTGACGCTGCATCGATTTTAACGCAAGAACAGAGGCAGCAGCATCAGATGTTTACTTCCCGTCTCTATTTTTAGGGTCAGAAAAAAGGTCTGGGTTTTTTTTGGGGGGGTTTTTTCTGTTTTTTTTTTTTTTTTTTAAACGTTGCTCAACAAGAGTCTGCTCCTATCAATCACCGATACAGGACGTGTATCCTTTATTAAAGTAAACCGATAGCTCCCTGCAGTTTTTAAGACAGAATGTTTTCTTGCACTTCCTGACGCGAAGCATCGGTGACCTCTGCTGGAGGTTTCATCCTGTTAAATGGGAGTTTTTTCTCTCAAATGTCACCAAGCCTTTGCTCAAAGGGTGTCATGTGATAACTGTGGGGTCTTTATTAAGCTCCCTGAGGTAGCTGCTGTTGTGATTTGGTGTTATACAAAAATTAATTGAAATGTTCCTCAACTGTAAGCCTCGGGCTGCATGATGCTGGTGGCCTCAGGCTCAGGGTTAAACTTGGGTTTAAGTGATGATTGTGTGACATCACCTGCACACCTGACCCATGCAGACTGAGCTTCATGAAGGCGCCTCCATCTTCTTTAATGTGTGGTTTGCTGAATGAATCATCTTCTTGAACTTTAGTCAAGTGATGAAGGGGATTCATTCCTGGGCCTTGCTTTTAGTTGAGTGAGTGTGGATTAAATAAAAAAACTCAGGAACAGGAAGTGTGTGTGTGGTATGATTTTCTGAAGTGAGCTGGCATTTCTGTGAGGATCTGATCCCCCCCCCCCCCCCCCCCCCCCCCCCCCCCCCCCCCCCCCCCCCCCCCCCCCCCCCCCCCCCCCCCCCCCCCCCCCCCCCCCCCCCGCCACCATGAAATTAATCCTATTTTAGCGCTTTCAGCATCGCTTGTCATACTCGAGTTTGAGCAGCCCTTTTAGCTGTCATGGTAACTGCGGTGGGTTGGAGGAGGCGGTTCTGATGCTCATCACGTTCAGTGAGTTCACCTCCGTGTGTGTGTGTGTGTGTGTGTGTGTGTGTGTGTGTGTGTGTGTCTCTTGTAAAAGCCGTTCTTTTAAACTCTTCTTCTTGTTGTGTGTGTGTTTCAGTTACCCAGCAGTCTGTGACTTTCTGATGAACAATAACCTGCTGTCTGTAATACGAGCACATGAAGCTCAGGACGCTGGGTGAGTTCATTACGGCTGTTTATAAACAAAAGTGTGTTTTCATGACCGTGTGTGTGTGCGGCCTGCCCCTCGTGGACGTTAGAGGAAGTGCAGTGTTTTTAAAGCACCGTCCATTTTTCTCCGGCAGGTATCGAATGTACAGGAAAAGTCAGACGACGGGGTTTCCTTCTTTAATCACAATCTTCTCGGCTCCCAACTACCTGGATGTGTACAACAACAAAGGTAAGAGGACCAGAGGAGGAGGGAAACCATGGCAGCAGGAGGCAGGCTGATGGAGTCAAGATAATGAGTGTGTGTGTGTGTGATCCTCAGCGGCGGTGCTGAAATACGAGAACAACGTGATGAACATCCGGCAGTTTAACTGTTCCCCTCACCCTTACTGGCTGCCCAACTTCATGGATGTCTTCACCTGGTCTCTGCCCTTCGTTGGAGAGAAAGGTGAGGGTCAAAGAGGAGGAGGGAGGATCTTTCTAAAGTTTGCATTCTGTGATAACCAATCAGACATGCCGCTGTGTGTGTCCTCTGAAACAGTGACGGAGATGCTGGTGAACGTGCTGAACATTTGCTCCGATGACGAGCTCCTATCCGAAGCCGACGACACGGGCGAGGGTAAGAACGCCTTTAGCCACACCCATTTAGTTTCCACACGTGCTCAGTAAGGCTCGACCTGCACGGACGGCAGTTTGGCACCTTTGCATTTCTTGCCATGTTAGGTTCACATGGTCACGAGGGTGTCGCACATACCTCCTGCAGCAGGTTCACACGTTTTATTTTCACTGTCTTCACAGTGAATTCTGTGCGGTTTTCTTAGATAAAGTGCAGCTCGCAGCAGTGAGACAGGATATCAGACTATCCTTGAACACACGACACTGACCTCTGATGGCGGTGATAAAAACACGACTCTGTGCTGAAAGCTTTAGTTTTCTTACAGTCGAGCTGATGTAAAGTGGATCTGATCCATGTCTCTGCTGTTCCAGTGGGACTTTCATGGTAAAATATCTAATCATGAGCTCAGTCTGTGTTCAGTAATCTCTGTGAGCCCAAAGCCCAGCATGCACACTGCTCTGAACACCCAGTTTACCCCTTTTTTTCCCCTACTTTTGGATCTCTGTGATGTCATAGAGAGCAGGGCTGAGATGTTCTGGTTTAGATCAGCTTCACTGGAAGTGCTGTGTGCCAGCCAGATGGTGCTCTGGGGTGTTTTATTAGCTGCTGACAGGCTGACTGTGGAGGCCGGCGAGTCAGAGAAGCCTTAAAAAAAAAAAAATTGTCAGTAGTATCTGGCGTGTTGCCATGGCGACCTGCAGCGGGTGCTTAACACTGAATGTAAATGAATCAGATGCGTTGGGGCCCAGGGAGGAAGTGAAACCCTGAGGGAAGTCGATGTGTGGCGGCAGCTGTTAGAACGAGTTTGGCTCATAACTGCGAGAGCGCAGTCGCTATTAGCCCCGCCTCCTCTGTGGTTCGCTGATTATTACTGTGATAATCTCTGCTAACAATGAGACGGTTATGAGGAAGATGAAGGAGATACCTGCTGTGGGGTTTACAGTCTTACTGATTCAGGAAGAAATAAATGTTTTATTCCGTCAGAGTTACAGGTCAGCTCAGATTATCATTCATCCTCTGAATTAATCATTAATGCTCAGAACACTTCAGCAGGTCTCTGAAAGGAAGACGACATCGAGCTGTGTGCGTGTGCATTAAACACTCAGGTTATCACAGCTTCCTCTAGTCTTGGATCTTTGTGATGTCACAGAGAGTCAAAGTTTTGTTTACCAGGGCAGACAATCAGAACATGGTTTCCTTAAAAGAAGATGAGCTAAAAAAGCTTGTTTCAGAGTGAGCTGAGGCTCAGGATCAGATACAGAAGCATTATTCTGAATTGTGCATACAAATAAAAAAAAAAAAAACTGGGGAAAATAAACTGGATCAAATTTACTGCAGCAAACTGAGATTGAAAGAAAATGTTTTAACTGTTAAAAGTCCAAAATGTATTTCCTCAATCACATTTACCAAAGACAGCTACTTTTCTAGGGCGCTTCCGGCCCCTGGGCCTTATGTTTGACACCCCTGGGAGAAACAACTTGAACTATAAATGTGTCATAATGCTTTAAACTTACTGAAAACTCGCTGCATGGGTGACGTGCTCGGGTTCATTGGGTTTAAATATGTCTGTGCATCATCTGTTTTCTCATGTGATGGTTCACTGAATTTGTGAAATTTTAGACTAATTTGTTTGCTTAAAAATATACTTTTCCTCTGCTCAAATTATTATGTGGTAGTTAGACGTTCCCATCAGGTCATAACTAGTCTGCACATTCGGTGTATTTTTCTATGCATGTGACTTTTTTAAAGTCTGTGTATTTGTTATTTCTGTGCACAAGTTACTTATTTCTGATTTAAGGCTGGTTCACACGGTTGAATTCTCCGACCCAGCTGCTTGGCTCTGAGGTTTTTCTCACTGTGTTCTGCAGATGTCTTGGTTAAATCCAGTTCTGCCTCAATTTCTAAAAACAGTCAGACTCGCATCTTGATATCCTTACAAACGTTTCGTCGACCCTGACAAGCTTCCGCAGTATAGATCGAGTTCTTCATTTCAAATGCCACCAAACTTTTCAAGACTTTTTCCATTCTGCTCCTCAGGTGGCGCTCCGGCTGTCAGGAAGGAGGTGATCAGGAACAAGATCCGGGCGATTGGAAAGATGGCTCGCGTCTTCTCCGTGCTCAGGTGTGTTTTATATTCCTGAAGGTTTGGGTGAAGTTTATACTACAATGAGACTCTTTAACATCAGGGCCATGTTTAGAAGCAGGAGACGGTTTAAGTCCTTTTTCTGTACGATTTCTTTCTTTCTTTTTTTAATCGTCACTCTAAAATGTGGAATAATGAGGTTGTTGGAGCACGGTACTGAGAGTTTTGCTCCACTTTGATTTAAGGCTAATGAGTTTCTCAGTCGTTTACATTTGTCCTCCTTTGATTCTGTGGAAGTGTGTCAGAATAATTTGTCCTTAAAGTGTGACTGCTCCTCTTCAGAAAATGTCTTGCTGTTATTTTAAGGCTCAGGAAAGCATCGCAGGCTCCTTATCTTCAGTCCGTCTTTATGACTGAGTTGATCTCTATCAGCAGTTTAGTTCTACTTCTGTTTGCACTCGCTTCTTCAACCGAGAACTTTGTTTCATTACAGCTTGGTGTCTTTTTACTGAAGTGCAAATCATAAAATGAAAATTAGGACTATAATAAAATCAAATGAAACGGTCCCACACCCAGGATATCAGATATGATATAAAACCACAGATACAGACGTGTGCAAAGAACAAAAGCCTGAAAAAACAGGTCAAGTTTAAACCAGTTAACCAGATGTATATTGGCCCGTGTACGGGAATCTGAACAGCTCAGCAGCGTTTCATTGGACCTGCTGCTAACAGAAGCTCATTAATGCTTTCTAAAGTAACAGGTTTAACAGATATCTGCACATGAATATTTAGACATGTTGGAAATGGACAGTCTTTGGTACCAGAAGCGTTCTGAATTCTGATTGGCTTTGGCTATAATCAGGAGAAAAGTCGGTGTGGTTTGGACAAAGTCGGACTGATAAGGTGGGATTTTTTTTCGCACCTAACCAACACAAACGAGGGTGTGTTTGCCTGGTATTTAGACTTGGCTTCAGTTACTCGGGTTTGACCTAAACAAATATTATGTTTGAACAAATCAGTTTGTTGTACAGTTTGAGTAATTTAGTAGAACTAAACATTTAGTTCAGGAGGCTTTTGAAGTTAACTGTGCCTCATCGGTGACACGATCAGCTGACACTCTTTAATGATGTTGTGTTTGTGTGTCGACAGAGAGGAGAACGAGAGCGTACTGCAGCTGAAGGGGCTGACCCCGACGGGGACGCTGCCCCTCGGTGTTTTGTCCGGCGGTCGGCGGACTCTGCAGAGCGGTGAGTGCGAGCGCAGCGGAGCATCCCACCAAACACTAACCCAGAGTCCAGCTAACACTAACCGCCCCATGCCTGCACTCACACCGAGAGACTAACCGCCGAGAAACTGCCCCCGCCTCATCAGCACGTAGCCTGGTGGAAATGTCGAGTGGCCTCAATTCTCCTGTGACGGACCAACCTGTGCACATCTCTGCAGCACACTGGCCTTCAAAGACAAAGGGCTGCAGGGAGAGCAAGCACATATCAGACTGCATTTACTTATTTTCATGGATTAATGGCTAATTATACTTATTATTACAAAGCCTGAAAACTTCACCCACACTCCTGGTCCTGATCTGGTCATGTAGATCACTTCATCAGCTGCAGCTTGTGGCAATATTCCAGGTTATATGTATAACGTCTGTATTTATGGAGGTGAATTCATATTAAATGTAAAAGTAGTCGCCTGAACCTCGACCTTTTGTCCCCCTGGTAAAAACCATCATCACCAGGGTCAGACTAACCAGCGGGTCTTACTTCAGAGCAGGGTAGGTCGGAGTTGGCGGCATGAACTTTGCAGCACTGAATCAGGACCGATTGGGAGCTGCGTCACGTTTAGACGCCAAAATCGTCACTTTGATATGACGGTAGAGTCAGGCGCGGGTGGTTTGTCTTTGCGGTTTCCGACAGACCCCCGTAAACCCAATGAAGATGTTAGCTGTGCTCTAATCTCGGACTCTGTGGTCAGGATGGTGGGGTGGTGGGGGGTGGGTGGGGTTGTATGATGATTGACTCCATGTTAACAGGACTGATAACGTGACTGACTGAATGCATTGATATATAACGTTCCCACTCTCTCTCCATTGGTTTTTTGGCATGGCACTTCTACTCACGCTTACACAGCCACCGTAGAGGCAGAAGAGGCACGAGGTATGCAACCGACCCTCCGACTCTCTGTGTGACTGTCTGTGTTCACCCACTCTGAAATATGTCTGTGCTGTTGGTGTCTAATGTTCAACCTGAACCTTTTATGAGCTAATGTGAGAGCTGATTATTGATCACCTGTTTCTTTGTCTTCATGCTGTCTTTGTCCTGTTTCAAGTAAGTTTCCTCACCTTCTCTTCGTGTTTTTAAAAGTGACTGTTTGTGCAGCAGGTCAGAAACGAGCCAGCAGGACAGCAAAAGTTCACACACAAGTTCTAAAATAAAAAGTGAAATATTTTTAATGATGTTACACGCTAATAAAATACTGTAGTAAAATACTAATTTGTTACTAAAATTTAAAATGTTAAATAGTAAATAATAAAATATCTAAATAATATTAACATAATTGCCATAAATATATATTACTAATTAGAAATATCCTTAAAGTACAAAAATATTGCTGAAAATAATTTTGATTAAATGTTTTCTTCACATTTTTGACAATTTATTTTATAAATTAAATGTAATTTGTTAAAAGTAATAGAAGTATTTTACTGAAATTTTAAAGAAAAATCTCAAAATTATTTTAAAATATTTCTTAAAACTGGAAAGTTTTTTACACAAAAACATGAATTTTTTTCACCTGATATTTATTTTTAGGAGAAATCGTTGAAATGTGTCATAAAATATTAGCATTACGTGCAAACATTGAAAATACATTTTAAAGTAAAGCTGGACGGCGGCATCCAGCGCTGGCGGTGACCTTCTGACCCGGCTGTGCTTGACGTCTCCTCGTGTCTAACCTCTTCCTGTTTCCTCGCAGCCATTCAAGGCTTCAACCCGCAGCACAAGATCCAGAGCTTCGAGGAGGCGCGAGGGCTGGACCGCATCAACGAGAGGATGCCGCCGCGTCGCGACAGCAAGCAGCACGAGGCCCCGCCCTCCCTCAACAACCTGCCGGCGAGCACCGGACCCCCGGACAAGAACGGCACCAACGCTCAGGCCTAGACCCTCCCCCTCCTCTCCCTCCTTCTCTCCTTCCCTGCCTCCTTTCCTTTCCTTTCCTTTCCTCCCCTCCCTCCTCCCTCCGTCACGAGCGGCAGACGAGGCCGTTCAGTCCGAGCGACTCGCCGCGCTTTATTTATTACATCATCGGTTAAATATCGTAGATCCAGACTGAACAGGAAAAGTCTCAGCGCCGCTCGATGCCTCCAATCAGGAGGCAGCTGGTACTTGATGCCACACCTTCGTATCAGCCACACCTCTTTTTCTTCTTTTTTCTTCTTTGGTCCGGGGAGGAAGTGACGCTCATTCAAACGCTGTGTTCGTGCCCACACACACACACACACACACACACACACACACACACACACACTCACACACACACACACACACACTCACACACACACACACACACCACACACACACACACACATACACCCACACACACACACACCCATCCTTTCTTATGCCAATGATAGTGTGACTGAGCTCCGCCGAGCGAGTATTTACATTTATAATATATGTATATTTTAATTGTTCCCTCTTTTCAATGTGATGTTTTTTTTTTTTTTTATAACATAGACTTAGGCTTTAAATATCCAGGTGGGAGGGGGCGGAGCAGAGTGGAGGTGTGGAGGGAGTGGAGGGAAAGAGTTGAAGGTTCTGCTTTATTAAAACTGAGTTTCTGAGCTGAAGCTCCTAATCCTGGAAAAATGACTCGAGCCTCCTCGGCCAGTTGAACTTCAGACAGATCTGTTATATTCCGATATTTTGGAAAAGCCGGGAACGCGTCATGCTCCTGTTTTACAGGACTGAGTTTAACATGGCCTCCACTGGCGCTCCAGCGCGTTTTAGTGAAATGCACCTTTACAAATCCATTGCAGCTCTTTGGGAAAATTGTTATAAAAGAATTATATTAAAATCATTGGTCAAAAATATCTGAGAAAAATGGAAATGACAGCCTGAGAAAATATTTTAATGAATTAAAAACTCAAAAGAGAATTCTGCCAAAACAAATCAGAGAAAATCTGAAAATTATAATTTGTGAAACTTGTGAGAGGAAAAAAAGTAAAAAAAAAAAAAGTGTACATAAATAAAGTCATCTGTTAATAAATGGCTTGAGTGCTGACGCAGAATAAAGCTGAATCATTTAACATGACGGCAGTCAGAAACCACCGATCCTCCTCGTCTCTGAGCTGGATGTAAATAATAATCAACAATATTAATAATTTACGTCATTTTTGATTGAAATTGATTGAGACCGGCAGTTTTAGTAGAACAGAAGAGCCCTTCACACAAAGAGGAGGAGGGAGTTTCAGGTGTGCTTCAGGTGTGATGAGGACCTGCGTGGGTTTGATTTGACTCTTGATTTATTTTTGGTGGGGGGGAGTTTGCCGGGCCTCATTTCTCAGAACATATCTCACCGAATGTACAGAGAGGAAAAAACATCTGGATGTTTGTCTGTAAGCAGCTGGATTTGTTCCTGCGAGGCCTCATCTCTGTAGACGTTTCACTCATTCAATAAAAACTCAACAACAGCTGCTCAGTGTGTGTCTGTGTGTGCTTTGGTCTCAAGGACGCCGTCTGTGTGCGAACGGGTCGCCGAGCAGCTGCCAATCAGAGTGCGGCGTGGGAGGTGGTCCTTTGTGCAGCTTTTATCTGTTACCAAGCAACGCAGACTCTCCACATCATCACCTGCTGCTCACTCCACGTGAAGTAGCTCGCAGCCAGGCGGGGAAGGCTGACGATGATTCAATTTAATTAAAAAAATAAAATATGGTGGCGGGGGTGTTTGGACTGCTCACAGCAGAAACCGTCAACAGCGAGCTGGGAGGTGTGACGCTGTAGTAACAGGAAGAGGCATTTCCAATCTCCTGTGACTCGGTCACACCTGACACAGCAGGAGATCTGCTGCTTGGACTTCTGGAGAACCAAAGGAGATGAGCACACAGAGGTGTTCAGATGAACTTTGACCTTTCAGGCTGTGTTTTCCTGCCAACATTAGTGCTGTAAGCTCAGTGTAAATGATTTGACTCCCGTCTTTGTTTTCAATGAGTAAAAGCAAGGGTGTCAAACATAAGGTGCAAGGGCCAGATCTGGCTCGGGAAAGTCTTTGATCCGGCCTGCTGGATGTCTTTGGAAAATGAAAAATTATAAATGAATAAAGAATATAAAAACTTTCACTGTGAATGAACAGGAACTTTCTGTGTTAAAATTACAGAGCTTTGCTGTAATTTTACACATTTCTCAGTTTAAGCTCAAACAGTCACGCTGACAGATTTCTTTCACTTCCTGCGACGGCATTTTTTTCATCGTATGGAAAAACTTTCTCATGTTCAGTTAAACGTCTCACACTGACAGGGAGCAGCTATGAGTTCGACATCCCTGCTGGGGAGAGATGTAGACTGGACATTGGATAATGATGGTGGTGATCATCATCATGATGATGAAGGCAGAAAAACCCAAAGATCCAGAGAGAGGGTGGGGTCGAGCCAGAGGTGGAGGTCAAAACTGTGATAGGATGATAAAAGAGGAAGCTAAGTAAGAACCCAGTTCTGAATGTGTGAATGCCTCGACACTGACAACCAGTCCTGTCCCTGAGTCGTGTGGTTGGAACTGGTTCCAGTCTGAGCTCTGGTATGCAGGTACGGAGGACTTTTATGGTGAAAATGTGTGAAAAAAGGACTCGAGAGACAGACGTTACTCTGCAAGTTTATTGGTCTCCATTATATCAGAGGACAGAAACAGGACTGCAAGGGACGGATGAGACGGCACAGGTGACACCAGGTGAGCTAGCAGGAACTGCAGGTGTGTGTGGTCTGAACTCCACGTGGAGTAATATTTAAAAACAGAAACTATACAGCCAAAAATATTTTCAACAAGATTTCCAAAATAAAACGCTTCACAGTAGCAGACAAATGCAGAAAAAAATACAATCATCCAATAAATAAAAGCTGCATGTGGTTAATCATTACAATCAGCTGTTAGACCCGGACTGCTACCATGAAGCTGCAGGACCACAATCATCACCACGAGCAGCCTGCTTCTCTGCAGCTGACAGAACAGGCTGGGCAAGCTTAGAGCGCCCTCAGCTGGGCCTCCAGGGGAATTACAGCCAGCCTGAAGCAGCCCGGAGGGGTTCAGACTTCCTGAAGCCTCTGCAACTCCCAGAGCTGCTCTGAAGATCTGTGAAGGATTGTGGAAGAGCTGCAGGCTTCCGTGATAACGGGCCGTCACTAAAAAAAAAGCTCTCTAAATAAAGATAATGATCCTCCTGAATCTGAGGTTTGACTAACAGACCCAGGATATGCTGGAGATTGAGGTCTGCTCTTTCCACAAATCCTTACGAGGTGTCCATAATGACTTTCCTAGACCTAGAAATGATTGGGAAAGCTGTAAGAGGTCATTTTCATTTTTACTATCCCACTAAAAATCCCATCTAACTGTCTAACTACAAGGATGAAAGTGAAGCAGCTTCATGTTAGCGTAACACCTGAAGATGGCGTGAAATCTGAGGGACCCGCAGCAGGTCCCTGACATGGATCAGACCCGGAGCTGGGAATAATCCACGTGAGGAGACAGAGCTACAGAGATTACATGTGATGAAGATGATGAAGATAATGTGGTGACCTGTAAGCAGTGGTAATTATATGGTTATCAGTGTATCGATTAAGGTTAGTCGCAGTAAAAGGTTAACCAGGACCGGTCTGCTCCTCGGCGAGCTTCCAGGAGCACGGTTAGTAAGATGGAGGACGTATCAGAGTGAGGTGATTGGCTCTGTGTGTGTCTGCTGATTGGATATTTTATTTGAACTCCTCCTACTTTAAAACCTTCATCAAGTATTTGTTGGGATGAGGTCACTTCCTGTTAGAAAAGCGAGGCCTTCTTCTTCAGTTCATTTCGTTTCCACAGCGAGAGGCGCTCAAACTCGGCCATCGGCATCCCGAACACCTGCTCAAACTCCTCCTGGGACAGGTGCCGCTGACAAGGAGGAGAAGAAGAAGAAGTTAAAACCTCCATCCAGTGAAGCAGTCGTGCTTCAGTGACGCTCAGACTGGGAGGACTGGAACCAGTCCCACCTCTAAAAAAGTTTATGTAAACCAGTTCTAAAGTTAAACTGGGACGCGCAAACAAGTCTGACTTCAAACAGTCAAATTGGGAAACCAGAGAAACCAGTGCTACCACAGAGAAGCTTCAACTGGGACACTGAGAAGGAAGACAGAAAATGACTACCCAGCACAGCGTCCCTCACCTCAAGCCGAGTGCGGTCCACGCCTGGAGGCAGCTTACAGCGCCCTCTGTGGGTCACAACCAGTGTCTCATAGGGGTAGATCTGAAATACACAGCATGCCATCAGCTGGAGGGAGTACTCGGATACTACACTGCAAAGTACACATCAGTGTAACGAGCCAGTACCTGAGTTAGGAGTATTACAATGATATCAGAGACAGTACCAGTCAGATCTGATCAGTTGATTGTTTGCGTCAACTGATTTTTAAAATTTAGACAAAATTCAGAAGTAAAATCAGTAATCGGAGTGATTAAAAAGGGTCTAATTTTGTTCCTGTACTTCACCGAGCAGCTTTGCATGATTCACAGTTCAACATAATCCTCCTTTATCTGATCGGAAATGCCTTGTTTTAACTCCTCCCCTTTTAAGTCAGCTCTCTTCTGATTGGCTCCCAATCACAAAGAGCAGCTTAAAGATAAATATGTTTTATTTTGAACTGTGAATCATGCAGAGCTACTCTACCAGAGACTGGGAGCGCCTCACCTTCTGCTCCAGGATGCTCGGCAGAGAGTTTCCTCGGTCCATGCGCTCCCTGCGAGTGTCACCGTTCTGCACACACACATTTAAAATGCTCAGACTGATTTAACACGACACATGAAACCAACACGTTAATCTGACGCTTCTGTCAGCACAAGTCAGGAAGACTGTTTCTAAATTCTGGATTTCTCCATCTCTGGCCTGGAGCATTCCAGACAGCCGGTGACAGGAAATGAAGCCAGTGGTATCTTTACTGAAGCGTTCCTTCATGGAAAACACGGAAGTTTTCTACAGTCCAACATGTTGAAGCTCGAGCCCAACAGTCTCTGTGAACATCAGCTGGATCGTGACATGTGGGCCATCAAAGCCCTCCTGCTCCTGATGGTCTGCGCCACATCTGCCTCATAGTGCTGTTTGGATTTATCCTCAGCAGCTGCAGCAGCTGCAGCGTCTGCATCACAGAACAGCGTCTGTGGCCCTGAGAGCTCAAATGCAATGCGACTTCAGAAAACATAGCAAATAATAAAATATCGCAAAATCGCACAATATGAAGCAGACCGTGATGAAAAGCTGCAACGGTGACAGTAAAACAAGCCAAGGATTGGTTGGAGCTGATTGAGGGAGAGATGCTATTCTAATCACATGATTCATGTACTGTACATGTATGTTTGCTATTACTGGTTCACCTGAATCACCTCTGTTGTGTTTTTGCTTTTTTCAATTTGCTGGTGTTTTGACCTCTCTGGGCCTCCTTACAAACTGTCTATCAAAGAGACAAAGACTTAATGAGAGTGTTCTATAAGAAATAATCCAACAATAACAGACCAGTGAGGCTTTAGAGAGGCGTGAGACTGCAGGAAATACGAGGGTGGGGTTAGTCGCCCTGCTGTGAAGTGTCTGATTGGTCCACAATTCACAGTCACACAGTGACCAGTGGTGTGCTAAAGTGGTAAAGAGGAGCTGATTCTTTATGTCGAGGTATGCAAAGCTGCAGGAACCTAAATTCAACCGTTGACTTCCAGGTGCCAAACCTGCAGTTCCTCTGACGACCACCAGAGGCTCCAACAGCGAGTCAGTGCTCCTTTATAACAGCTGTGGGGGCGGGGCCAGTAATGTGCTCAGGTGTGTCAGGGCTGTGCCGGTTAAACAGGTCACACAGACATGCTTACCTGAGCAGCTGAAAGATAGAAGACACAACAGGAAGAGCAGAGGTTAGTACCGAGTGATGTCACTCAGGTGTGTCAGGCACAGTTCATCAGCACACTCACAGGTGACTCGTTTCTACAAACTCTGGTTGTTTTTGTTTCATGTGATGTGCGTTAGGCTCATGTGACCAATCGTCTGTGAGAGCTGCACGCTCAGAAGGAACTCATTAAACCAGCAGCGCCGCTGTTTTTTCTGATGTCATGAAAAAGGTGAGCGAGGACTCATACCTGGCCGTCCTTTATCGCCATCTGTGGAAAACTCTGCCGACTGCATCTGCAACACACAACCAGTTCTTTTGAGCGTTAAATTTACGCCATGGGCGGTTAAAGATGGGCGGAGCCACTGTGGCATCACCTCCATCGGTGCAACGACTTATCAGCCAATTAATGTGCGGCTTCACACCAAAGCTAATCCTCCATTTTGAAACATCGTGGGACTGAGATTTAATTTTATACAAGTTTGACCCAACAAACACAAACAGCTGTTTCATACACGTCTACAGGAAAGAAGTGTTTCTGCAGCCACAGCTGTCGCCCCCTGCTGGCTGCTCAGGAAGAAAAAATGCTTCATTTGTCCAGAAGCTCCGCCCATGTTTGTTGGTGTTGTAAACACTTCAAACCAGATTCCAGTTTTAACTATTCATTTACTACAGTGAGATAAAAAAAAAAAGTCACTTAAAGTGAGCCTAAGTCCGGTTTAACTCCAGTTTCGGGGTCTCACTCTGCACCATGTCAGGTGTGAGCACTTACTCGTGTCAGGCCTGATCCTGAGCGTGATGGAGACTTGGAGGCACCTGCTGACAAACCTGCAGGGAGAAGTGGACAGAGAGACGTCAGTGGAGCGCTCCGTGGTAAAAGTGGGGAATGTGAAGGTGGTGGCTGTGTGCGAGCACTCTTACTGCCGTGCATGTGCGTTCTGTCGGGCAATGACTGCGTCTTCCTCCTGAAGTGGACGGCTTTCTCTTTCTCCTCCTTCAGGATCAGACGGCCCAGGTTGGACTTGATCTGAGTGGCCACAAAACCGCGGGTCAGATGACGCTTTTAGTCAAAATGTGAATCTGGAAAGAGGGGGCGACGGTCACAAACCTTCTCCAGCTCCTGTTCCTGTAGCGTCTTCGCTTCTTCTGTGAGGTCCTCAAACTCGTCTTCCTCCTGCAGCTCCTTCTTCTTCTTCCGCCACTCAATCTCTGCGGGGTTCAGCCTCAGAGTTACCAATGACCTCACAGCACAGGTGTGTGTGTGTGTGCGTGTGTGTGTGTGTGTGTGTGTGTGCGCACATGTGTGTGTGTCAGTGTGTGCTACCCATGGCGGCCAGTGAGGGTGGGCAGGGCCAGTACTCGGTCTCAATCTTGGAAGGCTGGTTGGGATCTGGCGGCTGGGCTGCAGGAAACTTTGCTGACTGGATGACGCCGCTGCCCTCGCCGTGTTTGTGAGCGTCTGTGGAGACAGCATGAAGTTGCTGAGTGATGAAGCAGTGACAGACACACACACAGTGAGGAAGAGGAGGAAGAGCTCACCCTGTTTGTAGATAGGAGGCTTCCTGTAAATGTTGGTCCCGTTATCTGAAAAAATGCATAAAAACTTTTTTGTACGGTTTCTCCAATGTTTCCTGTCTTTTTTTTTTTTTTTTTTTTTGCTGAAGACAGTGCAGAACTCTAAATATCTCGAATAAAAGACTAAAAGATAATTAAAGAACATTTTTGAGCTGTTTATCTGGCCGAACACATGAAATAAGCCAAAGTGGTGATGAAGGGTCAGAAATATGACGTTCACAC